AACGGACGACAAAATCAGCTGTTGCACCTCTACAGATTAAGTCTGTTTCCTTCCCTGAATGTGGCGTTGAATACCAGGATTACACTCCCTGCACTGATCCAAGGGTATACACAATACTTTGCTATTCATATCATAGATACTTTTTCCCCCTTAAGTACACTGCTCAAGTTATGTTGGTTATATGTCTTGTATCTTTATACAGAGATGGAAGAAGTATGGTTACAAACGGCTTGCTTTCTTGGAACGACATTGCCCACCAATATTTGAAAGAAAAGAGTGCTTGGTGCCCACCCGAGGGTTATAAAATGCCAATTAGATGGCCAAAGAGCAAGAATGAGTGTTGGTACAGGTGATTTTATTGTCAATAACTCCATATAGTTGTCCATGGGCCTTGTCATACTAGATTATGTGGTAATCTAAAAATAAAAACTTGCTGATTGTGTGAGATTATTCTTGTGACTTATTTGTAGAAATGTGCCATATGATTGGATCAACAAGCAGAAGTCTAATCAACATGGCTGAAGAAAGAAGGAGAAAAATTCTTCTTCCCTGGTGGAGGCACGATGTTTCCTAAGGGAGTTAGTCATTATGTAGATCTTATGGAAAACTTGCTTCCTCAATTGAAAGATGGAACTATTCGTACTGCTATTGATACTGGCTGTGGGTAAGTTTTACATCACCTGAGAATAGGATAGTTTAATTTATGTTAATGGGTTCTTCCTGAATGAAATATCGCTCTAATGGAGTGTATAACCAAACTATTGATGCTGTATTAAATATTGATATTATGAACTAATTGACTTGAAGGTGGCTAGCTGGGGAGGCGATTTACTGGATAGAGGAATTCTTACTGTTTCCCTAGCCCAAGGATAACCATGAGGCACAAGTCCAATTTGCCCTGGAACGTGGTATTCCTGCAATCCTAGGAGTTATTTCAACACACGACTTCCTTTCCCTTCCAGTTCGTTTGATATGGCTCACTGCTCAAGATGCCTTATCCCTTGGACAGAGTTTGGTATGTTCATTAGTTTATGTTTGTTTCAGCTCAGAGGTTTTTTTTGTGTGAAATTTAGGTTGAAGACTTTCACCTAAGATCTCTTATAATCTGGTTATCCTATGTTAATGCGGATGTAATTTTTTGAAATGCTGTCTCTAGGTGGACTCTACCTCATGGAAATTCACCGTATACTTCGGCCAGGAGGATTCTGGGTTCTTTCTGGACCACCTGTGAACTATGAGAACCGTTGGCGAGGGTGGAATACCACTGTTGAGGAACAAAGATCAGACTATGAAAAATTACAGGAATTGCTTACATCTATGTGCTTCAAACTGTTCAGCAAAAAGGATGATATTGCTGTGTGGCGGAAGGCTTCAGACAATAGCTGCTATGATGAGAAGCTTGCTAATCCTGATGCTTATCCTCCCAAGTGTGATGACAGCGTGGAGCCTGATTCAGCTTGGTACACTCCTCTACGCTCATGTGTGACAGTCCCAAACCCAAAGTTCAAGAAATTGAGTTTGAAATCTGTGACAAAGTGGCCACAACGTTTGGACGTTGCACCAGATCGCCTCTCTGATATTCCTGGTGGGAATGGTGGTGCCTTCAAGCATGATGAAAGCAAGTGGAAGGTCAGAGTTAAGCATTACAAGAAGTTGGTTCCGGCCTTGGGAAGTGACAAGATAAGGAATGTTATGGATATGAATACAGTGTATGGAGGTCTTGCAGCTCAACTAATTGAGGATCCTGTTTGGGTTATGAACGTAGTGTCCTCCTATGGTCCTAACACATTGCCTGTGGTTTATGATCGGGGTCTCATTGGAGTTTATCATGACTGGTAAGTGGTAACCGAATATTTCCTTTCTGGACAAGAATCTGGATTTGCACCATTCACTATTCTTTTTGTTATACATTTACTATTCTTTTGGTAGAAGATCAAAGAAAATGATTGAAATTCTTTGTGATTGTTCAAGCTTATGCATCTCCATTGACAAGCATCTATATATGTTCATTTTCATTGCCGCCCATATGCACATTACTAAATGGTGGAAGTGGCAATGATAATGAAGATGAAGAAACAAAAACTATTGTCCGATGGAGATTCATTACCTTGGTTGTTTGCATGACACACTTTCCATGTGGTAACTTCACAAATTCATTATGGGGTTCCTTACTAACGACCTTTATGTGATTCAGGTGCGAGCCATTCTCTACTTATCCAAGAACATATGATCTTCTTCACGCAGATGGCCTCTTCACTGCTGAAAGTCATAGGTAACTCCTTGTTTGTAATCCCTTATCATTGTTTTATATCATCATCTGAGTCTTGCAAATACTTTGCCCCATCACAAGCAAAAAAATGTAGTCAAGGACCTTTGTAATGTATTTTAACTATATTATTTGACAGGTGCGATATGAAGTATGTGCTCTTGGAAATGGATCGAATTCTTCGACCTAGTGGGTATGCTATCATCCGGGAAAACAACTACTTTGTGGATTCTATCAGCACTATTGCTAAGGGGATGAAGTGGGAGTGTCGCAAGGAAGAAACCGGTTACAACAGTGAGAATGAAAAGATACTAATCTGCCAGAAGAAACTCTGGTACTCTAAACAGAGTTCAAGATGACAAACTACAAGAGTCTTTGAATCAAGAAGGCCATCGAGTTTTCTGGTTGAGAATGAAATATAAGTTATACTTGATGTGATTTAGCGAAAGCTCAAGAGCACAGGTCTAGAAAGGCAAAGCATATATAGATGATTCTTTTTGCCGCACGAGAAGGAACGTGCTGTCTATCCAATTCATTATAGAAGAAATTCAAAGGTTAAAGAAACCAGAGTTTGTCATACTGAAATCAGTCGATTTTAAAGGAATATTAGAAAACAATAAGATCTTATTATTTTGTAGTTAATGTATTTTTTTTAATCAAGTTTATACATGCTCCCAACATTGTACTTAAAATAGCCAGTACCTTAAATTTTGTGCACGTGATGATATAAAAATGTGCTGAGATTTTTACATCATGAATTGTCAGCTTTTATTGCAACTCCAGTGGTTGTTTCTGAGGATAATCTTTGTAACAAATGTTTATCTCTTTTCAGTCATATAGAACTTCTTGTGTCAATAAAAAGGCTCTTTTTTGACTAGGTGGCCAGGTGGGGGTAAAAGGTGGCCAGGTAGAATAAAAAGAACTAGTGGCTAGGAGTCATTGGATCATTATTTTTTGGTTCGAATATAAAGATGGCTTTCGGGGTGTGTCAATCCACATGCTTTGGTGTTAGTTAGGTCCAGTCCACGAGTTTCGTGACATACTGTGCCGGGTCAAAGTTATCAAAAGGTTGGCCCTTTTATGGCCCAAACCCATGTGTCATCGTGGCAGTCTTACGTGCCTAAGCAACATTGCATTGATTACCATGTTTTGTCGTGCCAGGCCCGGCCATATCGTGCTTTATCGTGCTTGTCTCAAATAAAAGCGACCCAAGCCCGATCCATGGCTCACTTGCACAGTACCGGCGTACCGTGCTGTGCTTTTTTTCGTGTTGGGTTGTGCCGGGTTTCGGGCCTGCCCAACCCATTTTAAGAGATGACGGGAGCATTATTACACTGTATGATACAGTATAGAAATGAAAATCTGATTCAAGGACTAGGAGTGATTTAGTTTGACGATTTGCTCTCTGTTTCTTTTCTTTACATTTTGTTATTGACACTAAGGGTCTGATCTAATAGACTGAAATCAGCTGAACTGAACTGAACTAAACTGAAAATAAACGTATGAGAACAGACCCTAAGTTCGTTCACCTATTAAAGATACCATGTAATTTAATCTCTATAATGGGTGTGCTTGCACAACAATTCATTTTACGAAGTACTCCCTCTGTCCCTAAATTTCATTCCTGTTTTCCTCTATTATGTGAGGAATAAATGTTAGAAATAGGAATGTAATTTAATGATGGAGGAAGTATAATTTATCACCAATATCAAGAACAACTAAAGTTTTTCCCTTACAAGCTAATTAAAAGTTAGTGTTATTACATCCTATTCCTGTTAATTAATTTATATTAGTGCTCTGATTTTTGAAAAAAAACAAAAAGTAATTTATTTGTAGCATTCAAATGATAAATCATGTGAAATGAGTGAAGTTAGAATTATTCAGCAAAACAAGGTGAATAATAATTTATTTTCTTTACAGGAAGTGACAATTTTTTTTTTTTTTGTTTTGATACTAGTCAGAATTTATCTTTTCAAATATTCCCTGTCCTGGAATTTGTTTTTCTTATATTTATTCTAGGTGAAGTACAAACTAAAGGATCAATATAATTTCATTTTCAATTGTATTCATCGTGTTCTGTATTGTTAGCCTGTCCAACTATTATCCCTTGAAATTAGTACCTGAGTTTTGTCAATGGTCTAAAACATATGAACATTGTTGAAAACAGCGTCCAATATACGAAGAATCTCATCCACTGTATGCTCGTTGCTCAGGCTGTGTCCTCTACCCAAACCACTGCACGACATATTCAGTCGGTAAACCTCACACGCTGCACAAAGAGCACCACCACTATACCTGAGGTACCTCATTAAAGTATATCGAGGTAGCTGTGTTGCGCCATTAAAACCATTTTCCTATCGACAATGTTTATAAGCACAAAAATTTATACTACGTATATGAAATACTAAAACAATTTACTGATAAGATAAAGCATAGCTGGGTGTAAAAAAATGTGAAACAGTCGATTATTTGGCATTCTTAAAACAAAGAGACCAAAAAATTATTGTGCAATGCTCCCAATAAATAACCGAGCTACGAAGTTTATAAATAAAATACATGCTCAAGAAAGCAGTGCAAACAAGTGCCGAGGATTCCTGCTCTCTAAATCCACCCTCTCAAGCCTTAAATAGTAGTACAAGAAATTGCGGATAATTGTCAAAATCACAAATACAGCTGCTTCTTGTTTTCCCTTGACAATCTACATGGTCCCTCACACTAAAAGAATATCTTAATGTACACACCAACTAACCAAAGAACCCCAATTTTAGAGGACCTGAAAACGATGGGAACCTTTATTGAAGCCAGAAGACTGATAAACAGCAATGAAGAACGAATTGAAAATGCCGAATGTGACAAGGACACTGGTGTACTGAGTCATTTGTCGATTAATTTGAAGCGTCCCGACTGTAGTACTGGTCGAGGGTCTTTGCTGGGATACGGTGGAGAAGCTCACGGGGGAAGATCCTAAGGAGCGTCCATGCTAGATCAAGTGACTGGAAGATGGTACGGGTGTCATATGCTCCTTGGCCACAAACTTCCTCTCAAATTTGTCCAAAAATTCCAAGTATAGCTGAACAATTAAAAAAAAGTAATTGGTTAACTTGTGAAATTTATGTTTATAACCCGGGAACATCTGCAGTAAAAGGAAGCAAAAAATACCAAATCTTCTGAAGAAAGAGCTTCCTCTCCAACCACAGCTTTCATGGCTTGTACATCCTTACCAATGGCATAATTTGCATATAGCTGAAAACACAGAAACAGGACACATTACAAATATTACTCAAATCAAGGCTCGGAAACAAGTCAAATAAACACGAAAACATGTATGCTGGCAGACCTGGTTGGAGACATCAGAGTGATCCCTGCGAGTCATGCCTTCACCAATAGCACTCTGTACTCAAGAGTCACAGGTAAAAGTCAGCCATAGTTTAAAAAAATATGACATGAATTAACATTCTAGAAGCACTAAAATTTGATCAACTGCTCGACAGGATATACCTTCATAAGACGAGAAAGTGAGGGAGGACATTGATTGGTGGGTAAATCTGTAAGAGAAAAAAATTCAGTCAACATAATATCTAGACACTTTTCCACCAATAATTTCTCTACATTTAAAAAAATTCAGTCATGTGCATACTTCACAAAAGTACAATTGAAGACATAACACATGAAATTATGAAAACTAAAGGCTTCATATAGTTCAAGAGCCAAAATCGATACTCACCTGACGATTGTGTAGCTGCCTGTCGATATAGATTTGCCCCTCAGTAATATACCCCGTAAGATCAGGAGTTGGGTGAGTAATATCTAAATTAGAGAAGACAGCAAAAGGTGTTAGTAAAAGTAGGATTAGAAGAATAAAACAGGCATGATAGAGTCTAAAATAAATTATTACCGTCATTAGGCATAGTTAAAATTGGAATCTGAGTGATAGAGCCTGATCGCCCTTCAATACGTCCAGCACGCTCATAGATGGTGGCCAGATCAGTGTACATATAACCTGGATAACCACGTCTTCCAGGCACTTCTTCACGGGCAGCAGATACCTGAAGAATAAATTAAATCAAAAATCAAGATGCTGGAGCACAACAATGCCCTCGATACTGCAGTTCAAGAAACACGAGTTCATAAGATAGTTTTTAGCTAAGGGGCAATGCAAGCTCACCCCAGAAACTGCAGCATATTTACATCTAAAAGAGTTTTCCATATTTCATTTCCAGATCCTAGACTAAACTCAAAATAAAAGCAACTTAGAACAAAGAGCACCCAGAGTAGATGCTTCCCTACACTGCTATAAGTAGTCGACATGAATGAGAATTGACCGCTTAAGACTACTTGAGAGGTTTCTATAGACCTTAATTAACAAGAAAAAATGTACAGAAATGACATAGCATAACATGTATTGCTGATGTGTTACAGCTGATCGTATAAATATCTTAGCTGTAAACTATCAGAACCACGAGTATATATTCAAAAAAGCCAATACACGATAAGAAACCAAAAAAGTTTTTGCAAAGATTGACTGCATTATTCCGAACAAGGTTAACATTCATGAAATATTATGTTCAATTAGATGGCTAAAATACAGTATAAGTTGAATTAATCTACTAAATATGCTCAACCATTAGCATTAGGCATTTGAGAGCATATAGTTCCCTGGGCAATATGAAGCTTCATTATAAAAATTAACCATGTTGTAAGAAAAATAGTTTCTTTTCAGTCCAGGAAAGAGACAGAATCTCCATGAACCAAAGTCTGAACAACTTCAAATACAGAACAGAGCAACAATTATTCAGCAGAAGTGCTGAGAATTAAAAAATAATAATAAAAAGCCACAACAATAAGACTATTATTTAGACTTGATGATAGCAAAACTTACAAGCAACTCTTTCTGTGGATTATTAATTCAGTTAATATTAGACCTTGTATTGAACCTTGAAAGCCTCAACAATAGCAGACTGAATAGAATTCATCAAAATCATTTTCTCAAGCTAAATGCCTTTTTAATTTCAATTTTATAATAGATAAAACACTACCATTAAGCTTTTAACCCACTAGCTGCCACCTCACAGCCTCAGGCACACTATCAGCTAGGTGTGATCATTAAATAGTATGAGTTGGGCAAATTGAAGATCATAAAATAGTATGAGTTGGAAAAACTGAAGATCATTGCACTTATTAAATCTTTGCCTAAAAAAGCTATATATTATAGCCAAACTCCTAAACTCTTCGGCTGTCCAAAGCTCTCATCACGATTAAATCCTCATCAAATTTGCATCTTACAGTAAATCGTCAATTATGATGACAAAATTTTACCTCACGAAGTGCATCTGCGTAAGAACTCATATCAGTCAGGATAACAAGCACATGCTTTCCACATTCATATGCCAGGTATTCTGCAGTTGTGAGGGCAATACGAGGAGTAATGATACGCTCAATAGTAGGGTCATTGGCCTGAGAAGAAATTTGAAAAGAATCAGAAACTGACTCAACATAGAGCAGAAGCCACAACCAGAGAGAAATTAACACTAAGCAACAGCCATAGAGAAGGAAATACCAGATTTAAAAAGAGAGTAACTCTCTCCATAGATCCATTCTCCTCAAAATCACGCTTAAAGAATTGAGCAGTTTCCATGTTAACTCCCATAGCTGCAAATACAATGGCAAAGTTGTCCTCTTCACCACCACCCTGCATAGTGTACAGGCAAATCCTCATATAAGTATGCAAGACAAGTTTGAGATTAAAGAAAACAAAAAG